AAATGAAAATGCTTTGCCTCCTAAGGACAGTGTGAGAGGGCTGATTAATGTTGCTCCCTGAAGAACAGAAGTGTAGGTACACAGGGAAAAGCCTGAGGAGCTGGAAACTACTGCTGGGCCAGGTTTCACAAGCAATTCAAACCTACCTTCAAATATTTTTGCAAAGAATAAGGACTCTAAGGCAGTTGGATATTTCAGGGGGCATCCTATGCCATTTTTCCTCTTTCTTCTTGATGACAATCACAGAATTAGAAAACTAAGAGGATGACAAGAAGTGAGGAAGAAAGACCAAATTTGCCATATGGTTTTTCAGGAGAAGGGGAAACAGTTCTATTTTTTTTCCCCTTGACACATTGTTCCAAAAGATCTGTAACTGACGAACCAAGCCAGCACATTGCTGGGTTCTGGAGTTCTGTGACTCAGAAGTCACTTTGCTATCCAACACATTAAATGTCAAGTAAAATATGTCTGATAAGAGAGATGAAATTTCTGTGAGAAGCTTGGCCACTGAGTGAGTGTCTCTCCTTTGCAAATGAGCCCTGTATTTTGCATCTGCCTTTTAGGTGGATTGCCAACCTATACGAGATGAAACATCTTCCCAAGAGCTGCATTAAAAAGCATAAATCATGGAGACCGTATCTACTCCTCTATAAATCCCTTCACAAAGAACTTTATCCATAATCATAGTAAAGGTCTGTTTCATTTAAGGAAAAAAAAAAAAAAACCCAAACAGAAACACATACAGAAGAAAACAGAAGAGAAAGAAAAAGCATCACAATGATATTTTTACACATGCACAGTATGCAAAATTTGGAGAAGAAGAGCCCCAGCAGAATGCTTAAAGAGTCTGTAATACACAAGAATATATAAGTTCCAGGGTAGACATAACCAAAAAGGGGAGTATTTATCCATCAGCTGTCATTGGCTCTCATTTCACAAAGCTTGAAGTTGAGCACCCCTGATGTCAAAGAACTGAAAATATTTAGAGCTAGTTCTTGGATGACTCTGTGAAGAAGGGGATGAAGAAAGAAAGAATTACATGAGGACTGTGCTTCAGTACTCTTTTTTATAATAGATTGTTTTCTTTAAGAGAAACATAAGCTATGATAAAAGTGGCAGAATTTTGGTGCTTCTAACACCTGCAATGGAAGCAGAGTAACAAGAAAGACTTGGCAATCCAATTATTTCACGCAGGTTTTCATCTACCCGGAAAGCTGTCCTCAAAATAGAGCTTTTTCTCCTTTATCAATCTGGGAGGTACCAGGGGCAAAGTAACCAAGAACCTAACAATATTGTTGATGAGTATTTTCAACAAATGAAATCTAAATAAAATACGATCCAAGGAGTTTAACAAATAGCTTCCTAATTTTATTTCAATTACTTAATGGTACATTCAGCTTATATTACAATGCTATCTTGATGTTAGGCTGAAAAAGAAACAAGACTTATCCTTAGAGAGATATGGAGTATTGAGCTCTGTTCCCAGAAGTGGGAGGATGGATTAGAGAACTGATCTTTATAGAGTTTTAGGGAATATTTTAATTCAACTGTGAAATAATGGGAGAATAAACAAATTCAAGATCCCCACTACCCAGGGATTTGGGGAGGTTAGATGTATATCCTGAAAATCATAGCTATGGAGAAGGAAATCTAAGAAAATGTTTACCTTAGGAGGCTAAAAACTTAATATTTTAGAAATAGCAAAAAGACCACTTATTTCTTATAAATTTTTAACCAAAGACATTTATAGTTATGGAATAGGCTGAAATAGTAAGATTCTTATATTTCCACATATTGAGGTCTCAGGAGTAAATATTTACTAGAGGTCACTATGGGAAATGCAATCCTTCCCATCAAGAACAACTGTGGAGACAATACACTCCATCTGAAATGGATTATCAGGTCTCAACTTGTACAAAGCTATGCACAAATCAAACTCTTTCTGTTGTCATTCCAAATGGGGGAGGGGTCAGCATGAAGCAGGGTTGCTATGGGAAGATTTATGGGCTATGAACCTTTGACCTGAGGAATGTCCAAGGTTGGAAAGGGCAGGAGTCATAAGAAAGGGGGATATGGGCCTTGCAAGTAGAGGAGTCAGCATAAGCCACCTTTGCAGGTTACAGTGAATGACATGTGGAGACTGGCTGAGGCTACAAAGCTGGGGCAGACTACAGAAGGCAAAGCTACCACTATTGAGAGTTAAACATGCCAGGCACAAAGCTAAACATTTCCTTTACTTTTTTTCCTAATTTAATTTTAATAAAACTGAGCCCCAGGCCACAGGCTCGGGTTGATTCTCTTTGTTAGCCACACTCACTTACTAATCACATACTATCTTTCAGTTTTAGTGCCACTTGTACCTGGATGACTCCCAAATCACCACCTTCCACCTGGACATTTCCTCCAAGCTCTGGACTCACACATCTGTCTGCCTATTTGACATTTTCACATGCATACCTGAAGGATATCTCAAACTTAACGTGCCTAAAACCAAACTCCTGCTTTCCATCTATCCCCCAAACAAAACAGAGAGACATAACTGCTCCTCCTCATCTACCTTCCAAACATATTCAGAAACCAACCACTTATCACCACCTCCACGCCTACCACGGTAAGCCACCCCCATCTCCAGCATGAATCACTGTGGCAGCCTCCTAGCGGGGATGGGTGTGAACCTCCCCTCCAGTGCCCCACTGAGTCTATGCATTCCAAACCTGTCCTTTGTAGAACATGGTCCAGCCATCAATACTGTTGTCTGAGGTAGAGACAGAGTTAAGAATAATTCTTTGACAGGTGACAGCAGAAACAACGGATGTTGAGTGAATTTGAAAGGAAAACTACAGGGTGGGGCTGAGGGTATCAAGGACGGGACATTGGAGGACATCCACAGGGGAATAAAAGCAGCTCCACTCTTTTTTTTTTGGGGGGGGGGCTGGAGTCTCACTCTGTTTCCCAGGCTAGAGTACAGTGGCTTGATCTTGGCTCACTGTAACCTCCGCCTCCTGGGTTCAAGCGGTTCTTCTGGCTCAGCTTCCTTACTAGCTGGGATTACAGGCACGCACCACCATGCCCAGCTAATTTTTGGTATTTTTAGTAGAAACGGGGTTTCACCATGTTGACCAGGATGGTCCCGATCTCTCGACCTCGTGATCCACCCGCCTCGGCCTCCCAAAGTGCTGGGATTACAGGCTTGAGCCACCGCGCTCGGCCAGCAGCTCCACTCTTAAGAAACATCACACTGTTGGCCAGGTATGGAGGCTCACACCTGTAATCCCAGCACCTTGGGGGAGGGGGCGGGGAGGTAGAGGTGGTTGGATCACTTGAGGTTAGTTCAAGACCAGCCTGGCCAACATGGTGAAACCCCATCTCTACTAAAAATACAAAAATTAGCCCAGCGTGGTGCTACACGCCTGTAATCCCAGCTAGTAAGGAGGCTGAGCCAGAAGAACAGCTTGAACCCAGGAGGCGGAGGTTACGGTGAGCCAAGATCAAGCCACTGTACTCTAGCCTGGGAAACAGAGTGAGACTCTGGCCCAAAAAAAAAAAGAAAGAAACACCACATTATAGGTCAAATGTCCCCCGCCTTGAGCAGCCTTTCTTGCTCCCCAGGCAGAGCTGAAGGCCTCAATTACAGGATTGGAAATCACCGGATACCTGTGCTAAATGCCTCCCCCACCAGCATCTGAACTTGTTTTGTGCCTCCAGCACCTGATGCCTATCTGGTGAGCCCTTGGCAAAACTGTGCTGAATGTTTAACGTGGTGTCATGGACAGTGAGTTAGGAACTTGGAGAGGAAATGGCTGCTCTCCTCTGGAAGAGCTAATTAAGACTTTACATAGAAGGCGAGGTTTGCGAGATAGAAAAAGATATTTCAGTGTAGCCAGGAAGCTAGCACTGACGGCCCAGAAAGGAACAGCGGTGGCGTGGAAAGACGGAGACTGAGGCATGGAGGAAGCGGGGAAGGGAGGCCGCGGCAGTAGTGTTGGGCTGTGGTGCTGAGGAAGAGGACAGCACTGGGCAGCCGAAGAGAGCAGCGAGGCAAAGGAAGAGTTGTTCTCTCCCCTCCAGGGCCGGTGGTGGGAAGCGGGGTGGAGGTTGTACTTGTCTAAAAGACACGAGGAAAAGCCGGGAAACAGAGAGTAGTTGCTTCGGAGAACGTGGTTGAGGCTAGAAGGAGGAGCTGATGGGTAAAAGGACGAGGCGAGCTCATACCTGCAGTTCTTTTCATTTCCAAGTCCGACGCAAATTACCGAGCTCCAAAAAGGAGATAAGTGGCCAAAACCTTAACCATCAGAGGCTAAAACTGGACCACTCAGTGAGGTATGAGCCAAGAAGTTAATGAGGTAGGAGGCACAACACTGTAGAGAGTTGTAAGACAAACCCAGGTTATCACTTGGGTCCTCGAGGATCCAATTAACTTCTCATTAAGTAGGTCTGGGTGCTCAGCTTCTCCCCGGGCTCCAGCCTCCCAGCCCCCAGCCAAAGCCTGCAATGGGACTCCAGGGAAATTGGTTCAGCTGGTGGATCTTCAGCGCGAAGAAGGCAGTGGAATGGACGGGCCATTCACGGCGATACCCACCCAGCTCTGGCCAGGCCTCAAGCGGAAGGCTGGCAGCAGCACACCACCTCAATGGCAGCCTCACCTCCTGCCTCCCCCTTTCCCTGCCTGTCAAGCAAGCCCTTCCCTATTAAACTACCAGAACAGAACTCCGTCCTTCTTCGCAGGATGCGCGGAGCCTGGAAGGGCGCCCGGCCACAACGACGCCCAGCAAGTAATGGCTGAAGAGTGGATGAACTCCGCTCCGCCCCACTTCAGTCTATCTGGGCACTGAAGGATGCCACCCGTGGAGCAGCCGAAGAGAGCACAAGGGGAAGAGAAGAAGCGGAAGCCTCCGGAGGTCCCAGTGGGGCGGCCTGCGGGACCCGAGCGCCAGGCTCCATAGCGCGGTCGGGAGGGGGATTCTGGTCTCAGGCCCAACACCGACCGCTTTGCCACTGACCTTCCGGCGGGGGCTCCCGCGCGGGGCACAGCAGCTCGGCTCTGGCGTCCCGCTCCCGCCGCCCCCCGGCGGCACCCGCCGCCCGCTGCGCACGTAGATCACCTGCCTCCTGCTGGCGCCGCGCTGCGGACCCGGCGCGGGCAGCAGGTGCGGCCCAGGTGGCCGCCAGGCCGGGCCCGGCGGGGCGCTGTGGGCGGGAGACCCGGGCCCGGCGCGCCGCAGCTCTGCGAAGAGCCGCAGGCCGAGCAGCAGCGCGGCCCCGAGCAGACACCGGCGAAGGGCGCCGCAGCCCCTCCCGGGCGGCCTCTCCCGGGCCATGGCGTTGCTCTCGGGGTCCCGCGGGCCGCGCCTGGCCGGCAGCAGGGATGTGGCCCCGAGGGCCGGAGCGGCCAACTCTGGGAACTCCCCCGCGGGCCTGGGCGCGGGCTGGGACCCGCCTCCCTCCCTTGCGACCGAGGAAGCCTCGGCGTAACCTTATCCTGCCATGCCGAGCGCGCCCCGCCGCTGGAAGGGGCGAGGGGCAGTGGGCCGAGCGCGGTCGCAGGGCGCCGTCTCACCCCGCCCGGAGGTGCCAGGGCGGGGCTGTGCAGGGTCCCTCAAGAGGTGCCCTCCGCCCCGGCCTCCAAAGCCTGAAGGAGCTGAAAGATACAGGGCCAGGAAAAGCGCATTCCTAACGGGATCCGGGCTATAACTTCATTTTCTGCTATTAGTTTGTTGGAGAAACACAGGAGGGTAGGTGAGCATACAAGAACACTCAAGCGGTGTGCGCCGTTAAGCACAATGTAAAAATAAATAGCACTTATGCTCGGGCTTACAACTCTCTCTCTCAAGAAAGAAGAGGATTGGGGCAAAGAGAATAGCACTCAATGTAGAATAATCAAATTAGAGTTATTCCATGTCTAAATTCTGCCTGAAGCCAGTTCGTGCTTTCTTTCCGTGTTATGAAATGTGTGGGGGTGAAGGAGAGGGAAAAAGCCAGCTAAGACATCTGACAGCGGGCGGAGAGAACAGAAGTTACCATGGCACGATGTAAATCAAATTAATTTAGCTCCAAACACACACCTCCCTGCTGTCTCGCAGAAATACAGAGGGACAAATTTGTCTTTCGGCAAAATGCTCCCCAGCTGGTATTTCCATCACCACCTTGACCTTAATTAATCAGACTGCACTCTGACAGCCTGAAGTCCAGTGGTGGGTGTTCCATTTTCAACTGTTAGTAAAATCCTTTCCCACAACGCATTTGGGGTGGGTTTGGGTTTTAGGTTTAAGCTTGAGTTTGGGTTTGGATTTTTAAAGCTGTGATCATTTTTCTTTTTTTCCCCTTGCTTTACTCTTGCATTTCCATGCAAACTGCGCCTGCGGACCTATCCTCTTCCCCCTTAACAGGCATGGACAAGAGAAAACAAATACAGCGCCCTACCCCCTGCCCTTTTGAATGTAGGGTATTTTCCATAGGGAGCCCCTGTCTCTAAAATCCTCCTCCCTTCCAGGCTTAAGAAAGACCCAATTTATTCCTTGCTAGTGAACAAACCACTTGGGCTGTTTCTCTACATGTAACAAAATATCTCCATCCAATCTAGTCCATCCCCTGGCCACACCAGGTCCTCAGACTCCTGAGTGTTCCATTAGGATTGACTTTTATTTTTTTCTTAGATAAGTCCAGGGGATATTGCAGATGGGTTCTATTTTAACAAATTTAAACAAGTACAAGTTTTTCCTTACACAAACTGAGAGCCAGCCTCACATCCTGTGACTATTTACTTGAACTGTGTTTGAACCAGAACCCTGCCATTCATGCACTGTGAGACTTTCAACAAAGTACCGGACCTCCCTGAGCTTCCAATTTTCCATACATATATATGTGTGTGTGTGTGTGTGTGTGTGTGTGTGTGTGGCAGGATTATAAATATTGCATAAAATAGTGTATGTTTCATGCCCAAATAATACCTGGCTCACAGAAGAGCCAGTAATGATTTTGTTATTTACCATTAAAGAAAATCCTGGATATTGTCATGAGAAACAAAAGATAAGCATTGATTCCAAAGTGGGCAAAGATGAAGTATAAGGAAATTTACAAATAACTTATACAGTATTCTCTGGAATTCGGAGTACCCAATAATTTCAAGAAAACAACCATTAAGCATCAAGAAATGAACTCTGTTAAGCTGTATAAGGATCTTTAAGACAGAGTTTGTAGGATTGTTAATGTCTGACGTAGACTTTGCTGGAAGTTTTATTTTTTATGTAGTCAACACAGTGCCGCTAACTAAAGAAGTCATCTTTTGAAGATCATGATGCCCCTAATATGTGCCCTCTGCTCATCTGTTGAGTTTCTGTCCCAGGGGGAACGCATGAGCAGTATCTTATATTATTAAAATGGGGATATTTAATAAGACTATGGGCTGGGGGTGGAGGATGGAGTGGGGGTGCATACAGAACAGTGTAGTTCTTGAAGAGAATGGGCAGGATGACCTCATATTTTCCTTTATCTCATTTCTACAGTTCTCTAATAAAGTGTTTTCATTATGGAAAAAATTTCAAATTAAATGGAATATTTAAATAGCCTTTTTTGCAGTTGTGTTTATGTCTATGTGTTTATTACTAATAAACAGGAACTGTTTATATATATGTAGCATCATTAATTTTCTGGAAGAAATCTATTTTTAACTTCCACACAGTGTTTTTCTGTGTTGTGGATGATAATGAATAGTAAAATGGGTCAGTCTGTGAGCTGAAGAGGCAAATCTAACGGATCACTGTTGTAGCTGAGAAGCGATCTTTCATTCACGACCTTTGCTTTTCTTATACAGTTCAACTTGTCTCAGTCCTTTCTGGATGAGGTTCAAAAATGCAGATAACCATTAACCGCTGTGTCATAGGTTGGTTAATTAAACAAGTGGGTAAACCACAAGAGCAGCTTTCATCAGATCACAAATTACATCCTCTTTGAGGTTTTAGCTAGCAAAATGCATGAAACAGAACATTTCTAAGCCAGGGGTGGTTTTGCCTCCCAGGGGATATTTAGCAATGTCTGAAGACATTTTTGGTTGTTGCCACTGGAGGATGCTACTGGGATCTAATGGCTACCCATTAGACAAGGGATGCTGCTAAGCATCCTCCAATGCAAAAGATTGCCTTCCACTACAAAGGCTTGTCCAGCCCAGAATGCCAGGAGAGTTGAAGTTCAGAAGACCTGCTGTAACTATAAATGCTAATGTGGCCATTTTAAATTATAGACTATCCAAAAAGAAAACAGAGCCAACAGTATCACCTCCCTCAAGTGGTTATTTCTATTTCACAATGTGACATACTCAGTGTGTGAGTCCTTTTTTGTGTCGCTATAAAGAAATACCTGAGGTTAGGTAATTTATAACAAAAGAGGTTTAATTGGCTTATAGTTCTGCATGCTGTACACGAAGCATAGTGCCAGCATCTGCTTTTGGTGAGGCCTCAGGAAGTTTACAGTCATGGCAGAAAGCAAAAGGTGACCCAGCATATCACATGGTGAGAATGGGAGCAAGAGAGAAAGGAAGGAGCTGCCAGCTCCTTTTAAACAATCAGATCTCCCAAGAACTAATAGAACAAGAACTCACTTATGACCAAACAGGGATGGTGCTAAGCCATTCATGAGGAATCCATCCCCATGATCCAATACCGCCCGCTAGGCCCCACCTCCAACATTGGAGGTCACATTTCAACGTGAGATTTGGAGGAGACAAACATCCAAACCATATTACCCGGTTTGAATTAAAGTTTAAATTTACAAAAGAATGAAGTTAGAATGTCTGGCATCAACATCCCCCGTCCCCTCATCACCTTTTCTCTATGTACATGTTCACTGTGGGAAAAATAAGCAAAAGAAGATATCAACAGTTATTCATAATAACACGATTCAGAGGTAGCTATCCTATATCCTACACATGTAGATGATTAAGATACTAGCTCAGGCTGAGCACAGTGGCTCGTGCCTGTAATCCCAGTACTTTGGGAGCCTGAGGTGGGTGGATTGCTTAAGCCCAGGAGTTTGAGGCCACCCTGGGCAACATGGTAAAATCCACCTCTGCCAAAAACATAAAAAATTAGTCAGGCATGGTGGTATGCTCCCATAGTCCCAGCTACTCGAGAGGCTGACCGAAGGGGGAGGATTGCTTGAGCCTGGGAGTTTGAGGCTGCAGTGAGCCAAGATCATGCCACTGCACTCTAGCCTGGGTGATGACAGAGCCAGACCTGGTCTCAAATAAATAAATAAATAAGATACTAGCTCACCATGACTTAACAACCCTAACAGAAACATCTGTGTTCAAAGAAGACCCCACCAAGATAAAGCTTGCAAGACCTAGAAGAACAAATTTATAATAGAATGACAGACACTGGAACTGCTATTTGAGGCTGGGAACCCTGCCTAAAATCACACCACTGCCTATTCCACAACCAAATACAGCTGGCTCCCGGCTGGTTTTATGGAAAATGCCTGGGGAATGTCTTAATGTCCAGGCCTGGCTGGGAAAGAGAGCATGAATCTTCCCTGCCTCTTTTGAGTCCCCTCACACTGTGTTCTCCCATTCTTACGTTAACATTTGTGGACTTGATTATCCTTCCTCTACTGGGGATGTTTCTCAGGCATCAGGATGGGGGTCTGAATCACTTCTGCACCCCCAGCAATGCCTTGCATGGGATAGGCCTTAATCATGTCTCTGGAATCATTAAGAGACATCGCACCCCAATTCTGCTGGAGTCAGACTCAAGATACCAAAGTTCTTGTTGCTCATCCATCCTAACCTAAAAAGAATCATAGTCAAACCCATATTGGCTGGCTCACAAATCATAACATCTGCAACCTGGTACCTTTTTGTTTCTCTAAAGGAACTTGGGAAGAATCAGGGAATGCATCACATAAGCCATTGGGGGACAAAGAACTAAGGTCAAAGAAGTGGGTGTGGGGAGAACAGTGCATGGACAGGGTAAACACTGTGGTGGTGGCTCTGAGGGAAACCCTAGACTTTGGAGCCTTGGGCAGGAAGTTCTGATGGAAGATGCAACACACACACACACACACACACACACACACACACTCTCTCTTTCGTGGATATGTTCGGAAAACACATCTGAGGCATTGTTAGAGAGGTTTATTTAAAGACATTCGCTCCCACAATGAGACATTCTTGGATTCTACAACAATGAAGGGGCTCAGGTTAAGAATTACCAAAACGTCACCTTTTTCATAGGACCACCTATACTGCATTGACCCTCCTGCACCTTCCACTCATCTTACCATGATGATGCATGCCAGAAATAATCTCCCAGCTACAAATCACTTTGAAGTCAAAAACTTTCCTGGTTAAAACTTTCCCAAAGTCAAGGGTTTTAAAAACAAAACCTTTTAAGGTCAAAAAAGATGACCAGGCAACTGACAGGATAAAGTGAGGCACAGCA